GTAATAAATACACGCTATGGAATAGTACATAGCTGTTAAAAAAAAAAGAGGATTAAATCATGTTATTTGCAACAACACAGATACAGCTGGAGGCCATAATTTTAAGCAAACTGGCATACGAATAGAAAACAAAATACATTCTCACTTATAAGTGGGAGCTAAACATTGAGTATACATAGACACAAAGAATGGCATAATAGACACCAGGACCTACTTGAGATTGGAGGGCAGAAAGAGGGCGAGAATCAAAAAACTACCTATTATTATGCTCACTACCTGGGTAATGAAATAGTTTGTACACCAAACCCCAGCAACATACAGTTTACTCATGTTACAAAACTGTGCATGTACTCCCTGAGCCTAAAATGAAAGTTGGAAGGAAAAAAGCATAATTCTCACATGCAAAAATAATTAAATAAACGAAGGACGCTAAGGAGATAGGTGATTGCAGTTGGCTAAGCCTCTGAGCATTGCTCCATGTTCCATCCTACCTGGACTAGAACTTAGAAAGTCATCATTATCATTTAGGATTAAAAAAAAGAGAGTGGAAAAGCCATGGACCGCCTTTTCTGCTAAAGTGGTTCAAAGCTGTTGGATGAAGTTGAATCAAAGTTGGCATAAATATTATAAAAACACCTTTAACAGAAAAAAATGTCACACAATAAACCTCAAAGAGTTAATGAACTGATAAAGTGTTCAGAATGGCTAGATAATGATGTGAGTGTGAAAATGAGAAAAAAATAAATAAATAGATCGCTTTCTGAATCTCCTCCAGAAAGTGAAAAACATGCTTCTCTAAATCCATGACAAATATCTGGGTCCTTAAAGGAATCAAATATTTTGTAAATAGCCTACGGGACACAAGACGGTAGCTATTCCTAAGTGAAACACTTGAGCACAGTAAGCTCTTGAAATATCTGGGTTGGCTGAACATCGGTAAACACAGTATGTTGATTGTAATCGCTGGGCTGCAGCAATTTATAAGAAATGATTCCAAAAATTGATTTTGGATTCATCACAAAGCTCAAGAGCAGGACTTCAGTATGTGGCTCATTCTGCCAGAAATCCCCAGCAGAATTTGGAATAACACTAAGCTGTATTAAAATGATAGCATATTACTTTGTTTGATTAAAATTTAAACAAATTGTAATGAACAGATACAACGGCTCTTTTAGACTTTATATTGACCACATTTAAAGATCAAACAGCCCAGCAGGAGCACATGACTCACAAGCATTCTCAAAGTTAGTATTTTGACTAAGGTCTTTTGAACTAATATTTATAGAATATTTATGTAACTGGGGCAACTTAAGATTCTAAACAATGACAATTCCTCAAAGCATTGCTCTAAAAGGAGGAATATATAGTACAGACACTATTAGCATTTCATGACTGGCTGATACAAGACAAATTTTGATGTAAAAATCTTATGATCCTTTAAAGAAAGACTAATGACTATTTAAGAAGCCTACAAAGGGCATAACCAAGCTCCATGCGCATGCCAGTTTTTGATGCTTATTGTCAGAAGCAGTATTAATTACCTTTTAAAGCACAGAAATACAACTGGTAGACCCAAATAGAAGACAGTCCCCTACTTGCTAGCCCAGTGCCCATCACCTCTGTATTACCTAGAATCACATCCACTTTGGGGTCAGTTGGGAATACATGTAATCCAGAAAATCAGGTATATATCCTGAGTCAGAATAACAAAGCTCCTTGATGTTACATTGCAATGTCTTTTCCAAAAGATATTCCAAACATCTTTTGCTTATTACAGATGCTCTGATATGCTGCCCAGCCACTGAGAGGGCTGCCAGAAAGTCCTCAGATAATAGCTTCCTTTTGGACCTCTGTTTGAAGAGAACCACTTTGCCCAAGTTTACAACATTTTCCTAGGACAGCCAGCACACAGCGACTGAACACTGTGCACATATGAAGGCCCAGACTGCTAAGCCCAGCTGCAACTGTTCACTCCAGTTTCAGAATACCTGAGGCTTCACTGGAGATGACTGAATCCCAACTTAACTTCTCATACTGTCCAGCTTTCTCCTGTAGTAGATTCTCCAACAGGTGTTGACCCAAAGAGCACTCTCTAATACACCTCTGGCATGTTAGTGACATTGTTGCCTGCTCCCCAGAAAACCAAAAGCATAACGATTAGTAATCAAGGAATCTAACTTGTAGCAATTACTAATCAAAGTTCTCTTTGAACAACTGTGTTTATGGAGAACTAGGAACCATGGTAATAGAAGTAAAGCTCAGGGCTCTGGAACCATGCTGTGATGCAAAGTGCAGGATTGATCCAGAATGACCTTAAATTCTCACTGCCTAAAGACTGAGCTGTCTGGGATGGTCCCAACCACCTTGTCCCTGCAGAAGGTATTATATTACCTATTTGGTGGTGGGGATGTTGGAGGGGGGTGTAGGGGGGTGTTTCATACCCTAAGGCCCAAAATTCTCCAGAGGTCAAGAAGCAGGTAATCCTAGACAAACGCTATAAACAAACAGCTGAAATCCCAAACCAGACGGCCTAGCACCAAATGGGATTGCTTATTTCCCCTGACAAGGCCACTTTCTCACACATCTCTGCAGGACAGCAGAGATTTCCCTCTCCCACAATCCCCTATGTGTCCAAAGAACACTTGGACTCTGCAGGTCTCTCTGAGGGTGCATGGGAGGAAGGGAGTGTGCGACTTTTTTTCCCTCATTGAAGCTGGCTGTATGTGACTTTTCCTTTCTCTAATGAAGTCTGCCAGTGATGTTTGAATTTATCTTGAATTTCTGTGGCTAACAAATTGACACCTTTATAGGACCCTCCTTGCACAATACTGCTGACCATAAAGGAATGAATTCTGCTTAGTACCACTTAGGGCTTTTTCAAGACATCAGAGATGTTCATGGCTACATGGAGAGGGAGGCAACCCTTGCAATAAAAAAAGCTGCAAGGACAGCCAGTGGTGGATTGACCAGGGCATCTGATATCTCAAAACCAGAGAGCAGATAGCCTGAAGTGAGAAGTTAAAAGTAGCTGGGCAGTTGACCATCCACTCTGGGCAAGAGCAGAATTGTCTTCAGTAACCCTGAGTGCTTCTTCAACATGGTCAAGTCAACAAGCTAAATTGGGATGGTGGAACCCGATGAAGAACTGTACCCCAGCTCAGCTTCCTAGGGACCATGGGCTTCTTCTCCATAACAGGAGGGCTATTCCTTAACCAAAGCCATAGGACATTATGAAAATCATCTTGGACCCTGGCATATGACAAGTGAAGGCCCAAATGGGACCCAAGTTGCCCCTTCAAAGGTATTTCTCTAGTATTTCCCACAAGAATAGCTTTTATTTATGTATGGCATTACCTTTTAAAACACATTCACACACATTAATTTAGTAAGACCTCAGTACGTTCACATCAACCTACTAAACTTTTTGAGGACATATTATGTAATTCATACATTTTCAGGAAGAAAAATTGGAACATAGGGTTGGATAAAGGACATTTTCCTTACTGATTTAGGAAAATTTCTTATAATGGGCTAGAACTTGTATCACAGCAACTTGCACATATAATGAATTATCTTTTTTTAAAAAAGATAAGATTACACACAGCTTGTACAGACATTCCTGGAAATATGGTCAGTATAATTTAAGTACAATATAAATCTTGAAGCTTACTTTAAAACTTCCTTTGATAATAGCTTTAAGGAGCGAGAGATCAGATGTTCAGAGGCTTAGATGAGAGGAGTTTGGAGAAAAGGAGTTAGAGCTAAGAGGAAGCAACTGATAGAAAAGAACACAGGAAGTCTACAATTGGGTTTTTAAGGCAAGGCAGGATGCTCTACGTAGTCTGCATGTTCAAAAGCAATTTTACAAATGCCCCCCAAATACACTGCATGATGTAGCCACCCAGGACAATCTTGCATCCCTGGAACAGTGTGGACTTGCTGTTCCTCTTCTGAAATGCCTGCTCTACTTCTCCTCCTCTGGGAAATAGGATACCATTTCAATAAAATCAGATCCATTCAATACATACGTGTTTATCGGAGGTCCACTAGGTGCCAGACATTTGCTGGGGACCAAATACGAATAAGCCATAATTTAAGAAACAGACTCACCAGTTACCACAGTAGAGTGTAATGGATGATTGAAATGGGCCCTAGTCTTGCACTCTGAAGAGCATGAGTAATGACTACTTGATCTGAGAATGTCATATTTTGCTATATACATAGCTGCATGTAACTGCCATATGGGGTGGGGGAGAGTCACTCCAACGAGTTAATCTGCCTATAAAATTAATAGGGGACATGAGTTTTATCTATGCTGATTCAAAATGTCCCCAAAATACGCCCTTAATTTGGTACTATAATACTGTGTCACCAGAAGGCTAAGCAGCATTGCCTTTCTGAGTTACTTCTCATAGAATCCCAAATCCTTAGAAAGTAGAAAGAACCCTAGAGACTAACCACTCTAACCCTGTAGCCCAAAAACCTCTTCCCAAAATCCTGATAACTGGTCACACAAAGAAGAAGCAGTTTTATCTGCTTCCTTTGTGTGCACCAAAGTGATCCACTTAAGCACAAGCTCTGCAGCACTTTATACTCTTGGAAGTTGTGATCTGCAGGGTGCATTTCTGGGGCACAAAAATGCTTCGGAAAGCCCCATGCCACCTCTATATACGACATGCTCATAAAGCAGATGTTTCCTAGTTGTATTTTTTGTGAACTCTCTGGTGGATTAAGCCAAACATTTTGGAGCTTTATTCATTATTGCTACAGTGAATAATTTGTGCCTGTGGTAACCGTAATTTGGAGTTATTAATGAAAATGAGAGATAATCTTAAAAAGCATCTAAAGCTCAGGCTGAGGTACAAGCATAGAGTACTCAGATGAATTTCATCCAAGTTTCCTTTTTTTCATTCCAAAGGATAAATATTACTTTAGTTGCAATAATTTTTTAAAAGTATGTTGTCACACATGGTCTCATATTATGCATTCATTGAACGTACCTGCAACCCTTCAATAGCCAGTTTAAGGATAGAAGGTGTCAGTTTGGAGGCTTGTTTGAAGGAAAAATTACTCCAGTCTATAATTAAAATGAAGCCATTTATCTGAAGCTCCGGATCTTCAATTAGGACTTCCAATGACAGCAGGATGGCACGAAGGATGTCTGTGAAGGAGTTCCTGTGGCCAGAGCAGAAAGAACTGTGTGTAAATATTAGGTGATAGCACGTTGCGTGCAACAGTGCTGACCTCTTCATGCCATTGCTCCATGAGCCCAGCTTTCAGGGTCACACTGGCATCCTGTACCCAAAGGGACTGAAAATACATTTGATAAACTTCACAATAATGCTTCAATACTTGCAGGTTGGATACCTCTTTTGGATCTGCACCTCAGACTTAATGAGATGTCGTGCTTCTGCGTTCTTATGGTTTTCCATACTCTGCTTCCACCACAGCCCTGATTGCATTTTGCCAAAATAAATCCCTTCTCTCTCTCCCTCACAGTTCTCTGACGTCCTTTAGGGTAGGGATTGGGCCATAATCACAGCTGTTTCCCCAGTACAATGAAGCTTTGCTGAACAAATGAGGTGAGACCTCAATCAGAGGTGTTTATTTTGATGAAATCTCTCTTGTTTCCTTTGTATTTTAAAAATCTTGTTAAGAATGTAAAAACATTAATGCAATTGATGCAATTTTTTAAGCTTCAATTCATGAATAGAGAAAAATAAAACAGGAAGAGTAGCTTATTTTCTGTGAAGGTCTACAGAATGTGATTTGGGAGGGAAATTGCATTGAGTACATCAGTAACTATGACAACAGGCAGACCTGAATACAAACTAGAGTGAAAGCTCTCCAGTGCTCTGTGTATTCCTCCACATCATATATGCCCATTCACCAGGTGATTTTTGTTTTACGTAATTTTCAGACATGAAGAAGTGATGGCAAATTCACTCTGTTTCACTCAGTAAATTATCTGAGCTAAAAATCTAAGATCTTAGAGGATCTCTAGATTCAGTGTTTTTCTCAGTGAGCAGCAAAATATGAGCTTGGATGGCAAGTGATGGCAAAATCTGCTACTCCCTTTGTTTCCCTTAAAATCAGAAGCCAAGTCCTCTTGTGAAATCAGTGTGAAACAATCAGATTCTTGAGCAGTCCAATCTGGTTCAAATGCCAATGACTCCATGTTAGAAATCAGGAAATCTGTAATAAAAATGAAAGACAGGGCTGGGCATAGTGGCTCACACCTATAATCTCAGCACTTTTGGGAGGCCAAGGCAGTTGCATCATCTGAGGTCAGGAGTTTGAGACCAGCCTGGCCCAATTGGCAAAACCTTGTCTTTACTAAAAATACAAAAATTAGCTGGGTGTGGTGGCAGGTGCCTGTAATCCCAGCTACTCTGAAGGCTGAGACAGGAGACTTGCTTGAATCCAGGAGATGGAAGTTGCAGTGAGCCAAGATGGCACCATTGCACTTCAGCCTGGGAGTCACAGCAAGACTCTGTCTAAACTAACAAACAAAAAAACAAATAAAAAAAGTAAGCCAGTTAGAATATATTGAGTGCCTGGTATAAACTCAGTATTGTGCCTCATGCTTAAAGCTAATAAATTAGAATATCCTATTTCTACTTTCAAAAAACTCTTAATTTAATTGGAGTCGGGTGGGAGATTAGCAACATGAGTTGGAAGGGATCAATAAAATTTGAGTAATCAGGGAAGAGTTTATAGGGAGACTTGGGATAATCTTGAAGAATGGATAGAAATTTTATGGATAATTGGGAAAAGGAGGGAGCAAGACATTTTCAGGAGAGAGAAGTGACACAGATGAAAAATAAAGATACTAGCCCATTCTGTTTCTGCATAGTCCTTCTCACTAAAAATTATTTCCTTATATTAAGCCATAATTTTCCTCCTTCAAATCCACCCAGTGGGTGTAGTTCTGCTATATATGAAAAAACCCCTCAAGTCTCCCCACACCACACACTTTCAGCTTTCTAAGCATGATGGTCATGATACCATATATAATCTCTAGATTTAAAAAATTTTGTAACTTGAACCATTTCTCATAGGAAATGGTTCCTAATACTCTTTTTGTCATGATGGTTTCCTTTCAGATATAGCCCCTTTTCATTCTTAGAGATTTCCTATTCTTGATGTTGTAGAATAGGTTTTCATTGGGAGTTTGTATGCTTTTGTTTTTCCTTTCACATCAAAACAATTATCCAAAGACCCAAGTCTTTTGCATAGATACAGCTTTGTATTGGAATGAAACATTGATTTAAGAGACGCAAGGGAGTAATGAGTTTAGGCAATCTCAAATGGAAATGCCCAATCGGTAAACCGGAAATGATCATTAGGGCATGAGGGAGTTTGAGCCTAGATAAGTTTTCTTAGGAAGGGCATAAACACAGAGAAAATCAGGATGGAAAGGCTAAGTCTAAGGTAAAGCCTACATACAGTACTGCAGTTGAAGGAAGAAGAATTAAATAATAAAAGGGAGAGGATCAAGGTTGTGTTAAAAAAGAACAGACTATTTAAAGACACAAGGATATGATAGATTGCATCACTGTGTTACTGACACCAATTCTTCACTTATCCCTGCATCCACACACTAGCTATGGTGTCGTTGAGAATACAGTGTATTTTTTGTCTATTGTTCATGTGACTGGATTTGGAAGTAAACATCATCTAACTTTAACCATTGGCACCATGATAGGATGCCAATTCTAAGCCTAACTCTTAAGAGAACCTCAGATGTTACTACTGTTTTTTTTTTGCCCTTCTGCCATTGCCATAGTAAAAATATGCCACAGCTGGACTGTGAAGAAGAGGGAAACATACACAGACCAGTGACTCCCCAGCCAACTAGCAGGTCTTCATTAGAAGTAGCGCCACCTAGGTGAACCCAGCCTAGATAAACTGCAGCCACCCACAGGTGCATAAGCAGCAATAAATGATTGCTTTCTTAAGCCACAGAGTTTTGAGATGGTTTGTTACATAGCAATAGCTATCCAATATCAAATGGTAGTTAATAAAGTCAAACGTAAAAGAAAGATCAAGGAGAATAAGGAAGGAGAAAGGATCACTGCATTTGACAACAAGTACTCTTTGGGAAGTTTTGAGAGAGCATTTTTAGTTGAATGGTGAAGTTAGAAATAATTAATTTTGAAGATCTTAAGCAAATTACTTAATCTCTATCTCATTTTACTCCTTTAACTACAAGCTGGCAAGTCTTTTCATCATATATCCACACTTATCTACTCCAAGAGAAAATACTGAGCTCTGCCTGGAAACCATTCTATGCATTTTGGGGAGCAGAACCTTACTGCAGGACAGGCACTGGCAGTGAAGGAAATGTTATATTCATGGGATGATCCCAGAAAAGTAAAAGAATTATAGGCTTCATTACAGTTTCCAAATGTTTGAATGCTTTACTTTTCCAGAGGAATTGGGCAGGCAGGAGAAAGTTGAATGGACTGTGTCTTGAGTCATGAAGCTTTTCCAGTGTGGAGGAGTGTGAGCTTACCTCTTTCCTTAGCTGCAGTCATTACCTTGATTTCCCTAGTTTTTGACTTCCTTGTGTGAATTTCCTCATTTTTTTTCTCTTCACTTTTTATGACACCCTTTGACTTCTGGACTCCTGGCTTTTTAAAATTAAAAATGGCTATCAGACCAAACAATTTATGTAGCTATTCCAACCTCAAAAACGTGGAGCGTAACTCCCTACTCCATAAGTGGACTTAGCATCATGGCTTCCTTCAAAGAGTACGATATATAAAGAAGAAGAAGAGTTACTCTGCAGTGGAGAAACCTGGCAAATGCTACCTCAGCCAGGTGATACAGCTCATTCTCACCAGCGATAAATCATGTTGATCATATTTATTCTTTCTATGGTGATCAAAATGGCACTTGACCTCTATGGTCTTCCTCCCAAATAAATATAACCCAAGAGTAATCATAAGAAAAACATTAGACAAATTCCAGTTGAGGGATATTCTACAAAATACCTGACTGGTACTGCTCAAAATTGTCAAGTTTATCAAAAAACAATGAAAGTCTGAGAAACTGTCACAGCCAAGAAGAGCCTAAAGAAACATAAAGACTAAAGGTAATGTAGGATCTTGGGCAGGATCCTGGGACAGAAAAGGACATTAGGTAAAAACCAAAAGAATCCAAATGAAGTATGGACATTAATGAATAATGTATTAATATTGGTTTATTAGTCATAACAGAATAAGGAAGGAGAAAGGATCATTGCATTTGACAAGTACTCTTTGGGAAGTTTTGGGAGAGCACTTTTAGTTGAATGGTGAAGTTAGAAATTAGTAATAACAGAAGTTAGAAATTTGAAAGTTAGAAACAGAGTTTCTAAAAAGTTCAAACAGAAGTTAGAAATAGTAAAGTTAGAAATAAGACATAACAGAAATACTGTCCTAATGTGAGGGAAATTAGAAGGCAGGGCATAGGGGAAGCCTCTGTGCTGTCTTCACAGTAATTGTGTAAATCTAAAAATGTTGTAGATAAAAAGTTTATTTTTTTAAAAAGTGACTACTAGAGTTTATAATCTGCCAAAATAAATCTTTGTGAATATTCTAAAGAGGATTCTAAGCAAACCAAAATGGTCATAAGCAGTTCAACTACTTTATGCAAATTGTGGAAATGAGAACAGAAGACATTTCCAGAGTTTCTTCATTCTACCAACTCACGTAGGTTTATATATGGTTTAACTCAAAACCTCAGGAGGGAAATTTTTTTTTATTTACTTTATTGCCTGCAATCACAATTCTATCAGAATATTTTAGCAGTATCAAAATGAACTAACAGATGACAAATGGCTATTTACATTTCTTCCACCCTTTTCTAAATTTGCATAGCATTTATATAGTCAGTTATGGATATTAGTTTTGGATTAATTATAAGTTCAAATGTGATGATGTATGTGAGAACACTATGTAAACTGCAAACTGCCAGTGAAATGTAAAGAACTCTATTAGCAGAAAATAGAAAACTTAAATTTTTCCCCCATAAAGGATTTTATACAAATTGGGACTTAGTAATTGCTTATCTACAGGGGTTGTGAGCAGTTAGAGATTACAAATATTGACTCATTTTTAGGTTCCATTGTTGTTTACATGAGTTAAGCACCTGAGGCTTTAAAACCTAAACCAACAGCACAATGCAAA